AGCACAGCTGTCAAGGGGACAGGATGTTTCTGCTTCCTGCTTACTGTCACTGGAAGGAAGGCACAAACTGCACAAAGAAAGCACTTCGGGGGACAGGCAGCCCCTTCTGGGTCAAACCGTGTCATTCAGCGAGAGTTCCAGTACTCATTAGCAACACGGCTTTGGGGTGTAGATGTCGCTAGGCTTGAATACCAAAGCTGTGTGACTTTGGACAAGTGCTGAAGCTCTCTGAGCTCACGTCTCTCTCTGTAATAAACCCTCATTCACTGAGGGTTTTGTGAGAATGAACATAGACGACATCTGTACAGTACCTGGCACGGTGCCTGGCACACAGAAGCGGTTCTTAACAGGTTTTTAAATCGTACAGCTTCTAAAGAATGACACGGTTTCTTAATAACCATCACTTGCCCAGGATGTTTCTGGTCAGCAAATCATTCCCAGGCACGTGATCCGGTTGGGCCTCACAGGCACTCTGTGAAGTTGTCACTGTCTCTACCCATTTCAGAGATGAGAAAGCAGATGCCCAACAACCGCAGGTAGAGGTCACCAGACCCTAGCACCTGCGGTCTCTCCAGCGTACCAGACTCCCTGGGCCCTCTACCTCCATTTCCATGGAGTCCATCTTAGTATGAAGTCCTGGGGTAAAGCCTTCCGTCGAGGGAAAAACAATCAGTAGTCGGCGGGCTCCCTGTCGAATCTCTAGGGCAGAGTTAGGGCCTGGCAGGGCCACAGGGGTGAAGAGAATTAGCATTGTCTGAGCATTTTCTTTGTGCCTGGGACTGTGCCGGGCTCTCGTATAATTGCTGTCCCACTTGTCTGTACAACAGCTCAAGGGAGGCACAGATGCTGTTTCTTTAACTTGCAGCCGGAACTAAAGCGACAAATAAGAGGCCAAGCTGGCCATTGAGCCCGCCTCTGCACCACCTCGCTGCTCACCAGGCAGCCTCTCCTTGAGGCAGAGCCACCCAATGGGTAGCGCTCCAAATTCCCCATGGAGACCTGGGACCCAAGGCAGGCAGGGACTCCCTTAGAGCACGATCCGGGTCAGGGTGTCTCCCCTTGGGTGTCTCCCCAGCTGCCGTGGGCTCTGTGTTGTGTCACCAGCGTAGGGACTCGTGCGGGGAGTGGATGGGGAGGTAGCCGCATCACCTGGCAGCTGAAGACTTGGGCACGGACACCGTGCCCCGGGAGGAGCCTGCCGCTACTCCAGTGCACGAGGCGACTAGCCCAGCACTCCGGGCTGCGCCCGCCTTGGGTTACCTGGCGCTGAAGAGGCAGGGTGCCGGCAGAACCAGTTCTCCTAGGTTTGGACGTCTGGGAGGCCTGCCCCGGTCTGAGTCAGCTTGGTCACTTCCTGGCTGTGTGACTTGGGCAAGATGCTTACCTTCTCTGAGCCTCAGTTTCATCATCCGTAAAATGGGTTTAGCAGCACCTACCTGGTGAGGGTGATGAGGCCAGTATGCATCGTACCTAGCACCATCCCTGGCATAACGCGTGCACATACACCCACTTCTGCCAAGCAGAGTCGCTGTGGGACTGATTCGGGGATCTTGGGAGGTTTGTACTCTCTCCCTGTGGCGGGCGCGGTGCCTTTTCCCTCTGATGCAGTCATGCAGACACGTTTGGTGGGCGCCATTGCACACTCAGGGAAAACCCGTGAGACATGGGGTGTGGACCCCCTCAGGGGCCTCGAAGAGGGACAGTCGGACAAGCTCCCATGTCAGGAGCCGCTGGCCCCCAGCCGGGCTTTGCCGGCTCACCTAGCCGCGGACATTCTGGACGTAAGTGCAGCCGTTGGCCCAGGATGGTGGTAGCGTCGGGGGCTGGCCACTCAGCCTTTCTGGAAAGAGCTCTAGAGCCTGGCACCTGTGGCTGGAGTTCAGAGGGTACCAGAGGATTTAGATTTTGTTTTTAAAAAGAAGAAAGGGGAAAGAGCAGAAGAAAGCCTCGCCAGTGTCTGGTGGGCCGAGGGGAACGGGTCGGGGTGTGCAGGGGAGAGCGGGGCTGTGCTTGGCTGCATGCGAAGCACTTTATAAGCTCTGTATTTATTATTTCTTGCTCACCATTAAAATCAAATGTACTCAGTGCTTTTGTATTCAATACACATTTAACCCTGCCGACTTAGATTTCTCAGGTTTTAAATCCGGTGGGGAATTGGCTGGTTTCCCAACTTTCCCCTCAAGTCCCCATGAACAGAGCTCAAAATCCCTGTTTAGCATTTTCTCCCCTGGCACTGCTGGGATCCTAACACTGGTGGGGCCGTAGCTGTTGTGCGTGCATGTGGTTTCTTTCCTCATCCCCCAGCACCCCACCCCCTTCCTAAGCACCCTAGAAAGACGAATGTGATCGCTGAAATATGACGGGCCAGTTGTCTGCATCGTCTTGTGATTCGGGCTTAATTAAACCGTTTTGTCTCTCTGTGTCTGTGCCTGGTTGCGGCTCTAACTGTAGGTCTGCGGCCGTGTGTGTGTGTGTGTGTGTGTGTGTGTGTGTGTGAGAGAGAGAGAGAGAGAGAGAGAGAGAGAGAGAGAGAGAGATTTGTGCATGTGTCTTTACCTTGTGTGTGTGTCTGCTTCCGTGAGTATTTGTGAGACTGTGTGTATGTTGGTGTCTCGAGGCCTCTGTGTGTCTCTGGATGGTTGTCTGTGAGTATGATTTTGTGTCTGGCTTTGTCTGCACCAATCAGGTGTGTGTGACTCTGGGTGTGCCTGCACCGGTGGGGGTGACTGACTGTCCGCAGGTCTCTCGTGCCTTTCTCTCCCGCCCCTGCCTCCCCTGCCTCCCTGCTCCCCTCCCCGCCCCTCCCTCTCCTGCTCTGTCTGTTTTATCATCCCTAATGAAGCAGTCTTCTCCATCGATCCTGCTGATTGCCAGCCCATTCCTTTTGTTTGTTGGCGCTGAGCCATTCAATGGCACTCTGACAGCTCAGCTCCTCTAATTAGCTCTGTTGTTCTTTTTCCCCATGTTTCACCACGTTGCAAGTTCAGTCGAAGTTGCCACAAACTTAATCCCCCCATTTCAGCCACAAGTTCACATTCCTAACCCGACTTTATTGTAGCAAGGAGCAGCCATGTGCAAGGACAGGCGGACAGGCCTTAATGTCTGCCCTTTCCTGAAACCCCCACCCCAGGACCTCGGGGACAGGGCAGAGATGCTCCAGGGTCCCCACCGCACACCGCCTTGGTGGCGAAAAGTCTGGGGGAGCATTCCAGCCAGGTGATCCTGATTACCAGCTGCCTCTGGCTCTGGTCCGGGAAAGTCCAGGAAACCAGTTCACAGGTAGAATGGACGGGGGTGTATCCATTCGCGTATCCAGCAAATGGTGACTGGATGTCTTCTTTGCGGCAGGCACTGTTCTAATAACAATGATAATAATAGCAACATTGTTAAGCACTTCTGAGATTCCAAGCAACAGCATTCGTTGGTTTCTAAAAATCTCGCTGAGGGACCGCTCGGATTCCAGGCCCTGCACAGGATGCTAGGCGAGGGTAAGCCCATCACAAACGGCGTGTTCTGATTCAGAGACACCCCTCCCCAGGCTTCCTTTTGTTGTTGCCGAGCTCACGGAGAAGCAAGGTGAGCATTTATGGAGCCGTACCATGTGCCAGACCCCATGCTGGCGCTTTCCCTGTGGATCCTCACAGCAGCCCCATAGAAGACAACAAGTTTGGTGGGCTGCATTTGGCTTTTTGGGTTTTTTGTTTGTTTGTTTTCCCACGTCTCTGAGTTGCCAGACGAGGCTTAGGTCAGACTGGCCACTCCACAGGAAAAACTGGTTAGATCAGATGTTCAGAGACCTGAGGACTTGGTCCGACTCTATAAAGACTTGTCTTTTATGCAGCCAACTTCTGTAATCTGTGTTTCTAAGCCATTGTACTGTGTCACCTACAAATTGCTGGGGGGGCGGGGTCAGGGAATAGAGCCGGCAAGAAATGGAGCATGTATGCTCCCTTTCCTGTCCTATCTGAGCCCTGAGCCATTGTGACAGTTTCTACTTGGTCCCTTGTCTGCAGAGAGAGGGCAGGCCCTCTCAATCTGGATGCTCAGGCGTTTTTATTGGCAATGAAACTCACAGGTAGACTGTCTTCGCTTAGTTCTCTGTCATCAGGAATGGTCAGAGATTATGGTGCCAGATTTAAAGCCATGTAATGTTGATTGGACTGAATGAGTATCCTTTCTAGGGGCCCCGAGAGATTCTCAGCCTAATTCCCATCGTGGGCTCTGCTGGAGAAGGGGTGTCTATTCCAGCGGGCCCCAGTCTTGGCTTTCGGTGGCAGCAGATCGGAGAAAAAAACACTGCAGCCTGTCTGCGGGTTAGGAAGCCGCGTGCTTCACTGTCACACCCACCCCCAGTTCTCAAGCTGGGTCCACACCGAGCATGCAGCAGTCACCAGGGGTGTGTGGCATCCGGGCGGAGCCCTGCTCAGGGGCACTGCGGAGGGATGCTCTGGGCACCAGAAGGTGATTTTTCTGGCACTCTCCGATGCTGTTATTTGCTTCCCACTCACTCCTTCCATTAAGAGAGGAAAATAAGTATCTTGTAATTCTGTTGTAAAAAGAACAAAAATAGGCCCGCGTACCCTAAAAACAAAGTCTGAGTGAAAGCTTTTTGTTTACCAGACCGGTTTCCGGGTTCTTGAACAAGGTGAGTGGGGACTTAGCATTCCCAAGGGCCTCTTTGTTCGAGGTCCCATGTAGACAATATGTCATCAGACCCTCACAGCAGCCCTGCGAGGAGGCAGGGGACCTGACCGCTGCTTGCAGACGAGGGAACCAAACTCTTCAGAAGACCCCCGCCCGTCTGAGTAGGCCACAGACCTCCAGTCCTTGTGTCTGCTGTGCTTTCAAAGGCAACGCTCTCATAATCAGAGCCTTTGCAGCCCGTGCCGTGAAAATCCCTCAGCGTTTATTTGGGGCCACTTATCCGAATCTTCCGACGGTTCCGCGTGGCTTCTCCACCTCACTCCTCCTTGGGGGGTTTTCCCCTGTGCCCTTGCCAGGTGCGCCCTCCCCGTCCACATGTCGTCAAGAGGCCGAAGAGCAACGTGGCAGTGGAAGGCCGCAGGACGTCCGTCTCCAGCCCTGAGCAGTGAGTACCTGTCGCTTCCCTCCCATCTGTCTGCCGGAACCAGTGAGGCCCGCGCTCGGCGAGGTCCACGTCCCATCCCCCGGCCTTCGAAAGGCCTCCCTGCAGCCCAGGAGGGTGCTCCGCCAAGAAGTCCCCTGGGAGCAGGGCTGGATCCACAGTGGCACCTTCTGCTAGCAGTTGTCACACCAGTGGGAGGCGCCAGAGGCCACAGAGCTGGGCACCGGGGCTGGATTTTGGGTGGTGGTGCCTGAAGGGAACACGGACGGGCCCAGAGGGAGGTTCCAGGCCTTTCCTTATGCCGTGGGGTCAGCAGGAGAGTTGGGAACGTGGTCAAGAAGGTGACCTCCTTAACGAGGGCCTCCACCTTCCTGGGCGTGGGTGCTCGAGGTCTCTAGAGGCCAGATTTATACAGAGGACTGTCCTGCCCACTGCCCCACCCCACCTGGCTCATCTGTGCTGTAGTATCTGTGTTGTATGGCTTTGCTTTTCTACCTCCCCTCGGACCCAGAGGTCCTGGGGGCAGGCACTGGGGTTTCTACCTCGCATAGGACCCCACCCCCCACTTCAAGTCACCTGCTGGGTGGATGTGGGATGGATAGTGGACAGATGAGGTAAGTGACGAGGCGGGTATACAAGCAGTGGCCAGCGGTCGAGCTGCCTGGATGGGGTGAGGCTTGACGTAGCATACTTCCCCCATCCAGCGGATCCACAGTGGCACCTTCTGGAGGAGGAACCTCCGCTTCCATCCAGGGAGGTGGTGCTTCCTGTTGTCCCTGAGGCACACAGCCCTTGGGCTCTGCCCAGACAACTCAGCAGCTGCACACCGTAGAACATCCTCACAGCAGCCCCATGGAAGAAGACAAGTGTGGGGCGTGTGTTTGGCTTTTTGTGGGGTGTGTATTTGGGGTTTTTTTTGTTTTTTTTTTTGTTTTTTGCATCCATCCATCTCGGTCTAAGGTTGTTTAGGGAACCAAAAACATTGCCCCAGGGACGCTGAAGTCTCTTGGGTGAAGCGGGGAGTACTCTTCACGTCTGCTCTACTTTCAAAAGTGTTCTCGGGGAGCGTTCTCGGGGTTACAAGAGATGGCGGGCCCCAGCCAAACGACTCTGAAATGTCGAACTGTGGCCTCACCGAGGTTGCGATACACTTCAGCTCTTCCAGGATTCTCTGGTTTACAATTCGGTGTTGCTGAGACAGCTGTGTCGTTATAGAACCAGCCTACCCAGGCAGCCCTCACACCTTGCCCAGAAAGCTGTGGGAGACAGAGGATGTGTGTTTGTGCATGTGCATGTGTGTTTATCCACCCGTCCATCCGTCTGTCTGTCTTGAGAGATACTTGGCTATGCACAGTTTGGAAGAGAGGACTCCTGATGGTGGGTGTAGGTTTAACTTTTGCTCTGACGGTGGGAATCCTGGGGAGTTGGTCTCTGGCCAGGACTGGCGTGGATGATGACTGCCCCCTTGTGGAGAAAGTGCTGAATGTCTTCATGTTCCTCAGACCCTGAAGATTTCTCCCTAGAGGGGATGAAATCAGTCATTTTTCTTTAAAGCCAGCTCTTTAAAACTGGGCTAAATCTCTTAGCCACTGCACAGAATACAGGGTCATGGGCCTGTAGATATTGAAATGCGAACCTAGAATATCCTTGCACCTCCCAAAACCTCCCCAGACCAACGCCACCTCATTCTCCAGGCGAGCATTTCCTGTCTGTCGCCGGGTCCCAAGAGGAGAGTGGGCTTCTCGATCACGTCTGTTTAGTCTGTTTCCAGCGTTGCGCCTCCAGCCTCCAGTGCCGGCCAGAGAGCCAGAGGCTGGTAACCCCGTCCTCCTGGTGGTGACCAGAACTGTGTCGGAGTTCTTTTTCGTTTCTTTTTGCAATATGCCTCGTTTTATTTAGATTTCAGTTCAGGAAATGTGTGGGGTTAACGTGAACCGGTGGGGAGCATGGGGGCTCGTTTCCTGGGTTGGCAAACTGGCAGTCGTAGAAAACAAATGACGGGTTCTCTGTGACCATGCATCACAGTGGCTCCCGCTCCACCAGGAGATAAAGAGGTACATTTTGGGACATCACTCCCAGAGCTTCTGTTCACATTTTGTAATGGTGGGGGGATGTGGGGGGGCGGGGGGAGCTGTTCTCCCACGATGTCCGGCAGGGACATTTCCTGTGCAACCCTGGTGGTGGCTTCCTGCGTCTCTTCCCATGCCGCCCCACCCCCCACATGCTCCTGCTCTTCCAAATGCCATGTCACAACAGCGCTTGGATGTGTTTTTCTCAACTGTCATCAGCTCCAGCTGGCAAGACCAAGTTCTTGAAACACAGGAAGCATCCAGCGGAAAATATTTTAATAAAACAGACTCCTCATAAAATATTGTTCTGGAGAGGAAAGAAGCAGCTCCACCAATCTGTCAGCGCGGTGCTGGGAGACACGGGAAGACAAGCCGGCAGGCAGGAGCCAGGTCCTAATGGGCCTTCGTTGCGGATGGTTCCGTGTCAGGCACCCAGATGGGTGCCTGGCCCTTTAATCTGGCCTGGATTTTCTTGAATCACGGCTCTTTCTCTCCACGGGGACTGTCAAAGCGCATCGGAAGCGTGGAGGACTTAGGTGGCAGAAAAGAGATACGGGATCTTTGAAACGGAGGGAGGGACTCGGTCCTCCTGACTTCTGGCCCCAACTCTCACTTCCAAAGAGCATGTTAGATGGTCAAGTTGATGGACAGCAAGATGGCGCC